GCTACAACAGTCTATGATAAAAGAACGTGTGCTACAACAGTCTATGATAAAAGAACGTGTGCTACAACAGTGTGATAAAAGAACGTGTGCTACAACAGTTTATGATAAAAGAACGTGTGCTACAACAGTCTGTGATAAAAGAACGTGTGCTACAACAGTCTGTGATAAAAGAACGTGTGCTACAACAGTCTGTGATTAAAAGAACGTGCTACAACAGTCTATGATAAAACTGGTATGAACGATGTATCAATTACATCATGACACGTCGAAGAATGGGTCGAGGTTACTACTGGTACGTATCTGTCAATCACGGTATTTCAAGTTTACAACCAATGTTTACACTTTCACAGGTAAACTTATACTTCATTATTAACATCTGGTTGTTGACAATTTTCATTTCATTTATCCATATAATATGTATCCACGTGTACAAGTTTGAAACTGATGGACTTTACTCGGACTACATTTTATCTTGCCTTGACACAGGTTTCATACAGTATCAGGTTAGCAAGTGATAATTTGATGTCAGTCACTGACATTTTGTTAACATTGTTTCAATGGAAAGGTTGATTTAAAGATAGGGTTTTTTAATTGTTTTTCATTAATTATTAACTACATAATTGAACTTGCAGTATAAATCTACTAATTTTTTACTGGGGAATCCAATGGTGTGTTAATTTTTTAATTTTCATTAGTTAAAAATCACTGAAACCCTCCAATTGAAGGAAATTGTCTTTACAATGGGCTGTCGCATAAATTTTAATAGGGCATGTGTATCACCGATATACCTATCAACTCTAACAGTGGAGCTTACACACACTGCCACTTCAACATCACCAGTTTTGTTGCATCACTTGTATATCCTGCATGATTAGTATAACTGTTGAATCAGTCATGTATGTTTGGACTTTTAATTTTAAAATAAAACTAATAGAACACTTATTTTCCAAAGTAAAAACACGCCCTTTCCTTTGTTTGAGTACTGTAGTACAAAGGGCTAAAGTAATCATTCAAACGTAATTTGTTGATTGAGTTAGATGTTTGTTTTATTTAATTTTTATGGAGAGGACAAGTCAGTGCTTTAGGGATTTGACAAAAATTAGCATTATGAATGGGCCAAATGTCAACGTAGAACATTTTCGTATATTTAACTTGGGAGATTCAGTCACTAAACATGAATTTTACGCTAGTCTTACACTTGAACACTTAGGCCTAACAAGTAAAATCATTAAGTAATGCACCTTCAGAATAATTATCTAAGAAATAAAAAGTATACACAGAACACAAAACTTTATTAGGAAATTAGAATAATTAAGATTTATCAAATACGATGGCATCTGTACAAATTTCTCATTACAGGAGTACAACAAACGTGTTCTTACTCACATTTTTGTCCTATTGGATTTAGTGTTATAGCTGAGACGCCGTCTGTAAGTTAGTCGTTGCACCATCTTGCCTACGATGAATAAAACGACAATATTATTTAAAATATTGCTTATAACAAAGATTCAAACCATACGAAAAATATGGTATATATAAATAGAGTTAATGCTCCACAAAGTATTCGATTACGTTAGATTAATGTGCCTTTCACCTCACATACACACTTACCACTCAAATATGGTTCCAGAAGAGGAAGTCGAATTGCATTCTGGGATTTTAATAGCTGGACGGAAGAAATAATATTTACAACCAAATATCCTTGTATTTGTTTTGGGTTCAGTTGGCTATGGATGTCCATATGCAGCTAAATTTATATATATATATATATATTTAAAACCTTTTAACAAATTAACTTTGTGTGCCTTTATTAAAATATATTTCTGCCTCCATTAGACGAATGGTAGAATTTTACAATTTTGAATTTTTAAACTAAAATTTTTTTCTTCTTAGTGCATAGATGAAACTACAGACTTTTTTGTTATTAATTTGTTAATCATATGCAGCCAAATATTTAAAAATGCCGTATCTGTGCTGTGCCCACGACAAGTATCGAAACCCGGTTTTTTAGCGTCATAAAGCTTCAGACTTGCCGCTGAACCATTGGATTTGTGTTTTCGTATAGCAAAGCCACATTGGGCTATCTGCTGTGTCAACTGAGGGTAATCGAACCCCTGATTTTAGCATTGTAAATCCAAAGACTTACTATTGGAGGTACAACGATCAGATTCATGATAGATGAGCAGCAGAAAAAAATAGTAAATGTGGTCGTACACTCGCACTAAGCCCTTATAATCTTAATATCGTTGTTTACATCAAAAATGTGAAAAAATTTTAAATGAAAAAAATCATTCAAATTTAATCAAATAATGAAAACTTAGTCATAATATAAAAATTTAAAAATATAAACACTGTATTTTTTTTTCAATTCCAACAAACTGATCGTTCCAAACTCAGTTGCAGTATGAAAGCTAATTTTGTGTGTGCGTTTATGAAATAAAGGCATTCGTGCAAAAATGTGAAGAAAGAGCACAGTTCGACTTAGGACATAGGCTTAGTGGCGCAATGGATAATTCTGCTGTAATTAATGCCAGGCTTTAAATACACTTGTTTGATATTTATGATCTGACAATGTTATTGGAATGTTATGCAGCCACATCTCATTAATATAATTCTAAAGGATATACCATTGCCCTTGCACAATAAACATGCTGTTTAATGTATATGTTGCAAGTTTGGCCCCTAGATGTGGTCATTGTGCAATTTATCTTATTCGTTTACATTTTCATGTTTTGCGTAATCGGTAAGACTAGCTGTGGAAAGTTCGTTGTTAAGAATATTATATTTTAAAACTAAAGAAACATGTTACTGTAAGTCTGTAATAAATAATTTCATTATTATTATTGCGAATGAGAATTTTAGCAGCTTTTAATCACGAACAGAGTAACTTCTGTACATAACAACCAGTAAATGAATTCTGGGAACCTGGGTGATTTAGGTGAAAACATAAACTACAGATTATCATTGCTATCCAAAATAAAGTTATTTGCCATATTTAAAAATCTCCATCTAAAATTATTCAGGTTTTTTTCCCGATTTCATCGTCATGGCAACGAAATTGACATTGGTTCAACAATTAATTTCCGAGTAAATCAGATTGACAACTTGTGTATCAAACAAAAGCGTAGTTTTTGGAACTGCGTTCGTCACTAGTCATTGCCTACGTTATCATATTGTTACG